AAGCAGACGTCCATGTACGGCGCGTATGGAAGTTTATGCGAAGCCGGGCCAGAGATTCTTGCGTACATGTCCACGGCAAGCGTGGCGAGGGACATGGTTGAGATTGTGGATAAAATCGACGAGTTGCGGAACCAGAACGGCACTTCGAACACACAAGTCCCTAGGATCCAATACTGGGGTCTCTCGTACGGAACCGTGCTGGGGAATTTCTTTGCATCAATGTTCCCAGGTCGCGTTGGACGTATGATTCTTGAAGGGGTCGTAGATATCCACGACTGGGTCGCCGGCGTAAGTGTTCCTGGCCTGATATACTAGTTTGTTGGCAAGCTGACATGTCTCTAGGAATGGGCCAAAAACCTCCAAGATACGCTCAAAGTCTACGACATATACTGGAGCTCATGCTTCGAAGCCGGCTCCCAATGTGCCCTCTACAAACCCAACGACACCAGCGCCGACGATATCCGCCACCGTGTCGAGACCTTCTTAAACGAACTCGACGCATCACCAGCTCCATTCACGTCCAAGAACAACATCGAAGAAATCACCAAAGCCGACATCATCTACCTCATCCTCGAAGCTCTCTACCAACCCCTGCAGCTATTCCCCTACGGCGCCACCCTCCTATCCGAGGCCATGGCCGGCAACTTCTCAGGCGTGTACACAGCCCTCCACACATCCGGTGTCCTCCCAACACCATCAGACTCCTGCGCCTCAGCCCCTAAATCCTACACCTGGAGCTCGGACACCCTCGCCGCCATCGCCTGCGGCGACGCCGCCTCCCAAGCCGGCCTCAGCACCGCCGCCTTCCTGACCTACCTCCACGAGCAGAAAGCCACGGCCGGCGACTTCGGCGCCTGGTGGGCGCGCGTCCGGCTCAACTGCAAGGGCTGGCGCGTGCGGCCGTCGTACCGGTTCGAAGGGCCGTTTACGACGCCGAAGGCGGACCCGAGTCTTGTCAGCGGTATACAGGGACGGCCTGCGGCGCCGCTGTTGTTTCTCTCGAGTATGTATGATCCTGTGACGCCGCGTGCGAATGCGGTGGCGATGGCGAGGGAACATGCGGGCGCTGTGGTGCTGGTGCAGGATAGTGCGGGGCATGGCACGCAGTCTGTGCCTGGACGGTGTCGGGATGGGTATGTGAGGAGGTATTTTGAGACGGGGGAGGTGCCGGCTGATGGCACGGTGTGTGAGGCTGATTGTAAGCCTTTTCAGGATTGTCCGCAGGCCCCGCAGGCGGAGCGGATGAAGCGCGGGTTGGGTGGTGGGGGTGTGCCGGAGGGGTTGAGGCGGAGGAGGACGCCGTTGGGGTTGTGGCGGTAGTGGTAGTTTATCTACGACATTAACTTGACGGACGTTCTCGACATCTGGAACATATTTGGTGAGGGATTTCCTATCCCCTGGGCTAAGGGACTACTAGTTTCCCTGATATTACAGTACAGTACAGGACGTAAGGCATAGCTGAATTGAACAGGATGGCTTCAGCGACGTTAGATGGGGTAATCAGTGCGGAATATTGCTGGTCGTTGGTTATTATAGTAAGTGGCAGAAAACTATACGTAGTATACCACATTACGGCGAGGATGGACCCGTCTGCTGGAGTAAGGCATATGGAAGTTTAAAAAAAATCCCGTCGTATTAGAATCCTACATGTATCGATCCACCGTACCTAGAAGTACCTCCATTCTAACTACATATTTGAATACGGCCTTCGTATTCAAAATCGCAAACAAAGATTGCGACAAACCGAGGAGAGAAACGAAAATTAATGGTTGGACCGTATGACATGATAGTTGCGATCAACATAAGCAGAACGACGACGGACAACGACGGACAACAACGAGAAACAGTTGCAGAATCAAGAGCCCTTAACACATCGTCTCTTCGAGACCGAAACCTCCCACGTCTCGTCCCGCACGCGCTTCAGATGCTGGTTCGAGAGCATGGTAGGTTCGAGATCCAAGTCCTTGTCCAAGAAGTCAAGGCACGAATCCCAGTAGTGCAAGAGACTCAGGGTTTCCTCGCACTCCCAGAAGATGATAGGGTTCTGGCCAAATTCCTGACCCAGCTCGCCCTCCCTGGCATTGCGCCACTCGACTTTGCGCTCGTTGACGCCTGCGAAGAGACAGACCTGGGCGTGGATCGGGTTATAGAATTCGATCTCGCCGTCGGCGTTGCGGCGCGCGAGGAGAAGTTGAGAGCACGCCGGAGGGTAATATCCTGGTGTGTAGTGGCCCATGCAGAAGCCTCCCTCTGAGTACCCCCTTGCTATTTCGGCGTCGAGGAAGTAGTACATGGGTTCGACGACCGCCGCTTTTGCCGCCTTGAGAACGTAGTCGGCTTTCTCGTACTTCTCCAGCATTCGGTCGGTATCTCGGAGGCCTGGCAGGACTCCGTACTGGCTCTTGAACTGGAGGTAGAGGGAGTTCTTCTTGGCCAGGAGGTAGCTGCAGACGCGCCGAAGCACGATTCTGGTTTGCAGGGTCGCGTGCAAGACCAGCGTGCCGATCGGGAACCCGTCGCCGAAGACTTCTAGCACCACAAGGCGTGTTGACTTCAATGGCATTCCCGCAAGATCCTGGTTGTGACCCTCGAGACCGAGGAGGCGGACCGAGAAGTGCTGTCCCAGGATTCCGGTGCGGCGGAGCTGGATTGTGTTGTCTTGCATGTCCACAGGGTTTTGGGGGAAAGTGACAACAGGTGTGCTCTGCTTTATGTGATGTTAATATAATGCCCTTGTTTGGGTACGGAGATAGCTCACCTGGTTGTCGACATCTGTCATCTCGACATCCTTATCCACATCCATCTCGTCGCCAACGAATTGGCTGGAGTTGGCAGCGAAATATCCTTGTGCAGACATGGTCATGAGATACTCTGATGCTGGAATTCTTTGATGGAGTGTTTGAGTAAAAGGCCCACGCTACCCTGTTGTAAAGCTGAGTAGGTTTCTTGTGTGAGAGGAAATGGTCAAGAAAGGACCTCGGGGGAGTGAAAAGAAACAAGGACTGTGAATATTTTTTATGTGCCTGAAGAGACGAGATCTGTACGTTGGGGTTCATCACCCGCGTACCATCGTGTGTTGTTCTTAGAATCACTCAGCGTCGACATAGACCCAGATTATGTCCCATCGGTTCCGAATTCACGGGCGTGCTCGGTTTTCTGCTTGAAAAGAGGGTTTCCAGGAGCCACAATGATAGAAGCAGCCTTTTTAGACAAGGGATTATCGGTGGGTTTGTCCCAGAATAGGGCCACTTTGCGTTTATAGGACCACCTTCCCGCTCATGCAATGCGAATGATGGAACAGCCTTCCATGGCCTCAAAGTTGGCATCTTCAGTGACACTGATCCCGAATAGACGAAAGGGCTCGAGTTGCTGGCCTTCCACTGAGACTGCCAAAAGACTGACTCGCTCATAGTCAACAGGGGTGAGCTCGTGTATCGGCTCTAGTACCATATAGACTAACGTCGAATCCTTGAGAGCCTCCATATCAGGTGTCGTAGTGTCAATCCTGATAGAGAGAAAGATTGTTGCTAACCCCGGGATAAAGGGGGTGTTTTTGGCGTCTCTCAGGACTTGGCCCGTAAGTACCCAAGTATGTGTCCCTCAATCTGGATTCTGACAATTTCCCGCTCCTCATCCAGACTGTGGACAGAAGCGTGGGTTCAATAGCCTTCTAGGTCAAGGTATGCTGTTAATACCAGTCCAAAAGACTCAGTCCTCTAGTGTTGGCCTGAGTGTCGTGGATATTGAGAAGGAATAGACTTCCCGGATGCGACATGAACGGCAGAATACGACTGTTCACTGAAGCCCAAGGCCGTATTCAGGGCAGACCATGCTGCCAGGGTTATAAACCCTCCGGGCCAGCTGATCCAAGGAAAACGAACTCCATAATTGAGCAATATACCAATCGGCCGTGATGTCTTGATATGCCTTGGCAAGGCCCGCAAACACCGGTAACTCGTCTATGATTTGAGTCGCATTTTGAAAATCGCTTGATCAATTGGCGCCATGTTGACGGAGTCTTCCAATCGGCCCTCTCTACTGGGTGTGAGGACAAAGTCGCAGGAGTTTTGATCATCCGAGGAGGACCAAGATCTTTTGTAATTCTGCAACGAGGACAAGTTTGGGTGATGCCTCCTGTCGTCTTCGGTAGCATTGGGACAGTAGGCTCAGATTGAGCGTGACATGCCCGTTCAGACATCGCATCGATTCGCAATGATCTTGGACATCCGAACGTCCAAGCTCGATTGCAGATGCGTCTGAAAACAAGTATCGATCCATGAGGAAAGGTAGCTGGTAGCTGTTATCAGCACCATGTATCAGGATTAACAGTTGGCGGTAGGACAAAAAAACCAAGGACTATTACGAAAAATTAGCAGCCTTGCCAGAACTGAAATGTACCTCTTATCACCGTGGAAGACTATCGAATGACATGATTCGGGACAACCAACGGGAGCCAGCGCATACAGGCCGAGGCGTAAGCTTCGCCCTCATCAGCACAGTAAAGGAGCTCTAGAACAAGCTGAGATGACGTCGTGCAATAGTCTCATGGTTTGATCACGAACGTCAGGTCGATTAAATAGATACCTTTAACTCCGTTCCGCCTTACTGTCTAGGTAAGCTACGTACTCCATTCGCAGAGGGTAGAGAGCTTTGAAGGAAGCAAATGAGTCGTAATATTGAAGTGAAAATTAATATGAGAGGGTTTTGGGATACTCGTTTCGTGTAGGTCATAGTTGCTGGCTAAGAAAAGCGCAAAAGCATGCTATAACACTATGGTCCGCGCATATGGCATTGCCTTAGCGGATGCTGCAGCCTAAGAACGTGACATGGTCATGTACTCCAGAGAGACAAACCAATCCCGGTAGAAATGCCTCTATTAGTCGAAGCGCAATGTTACAGAGCTCATGTTGATAGAGTCCAATGACAGGACTAGATATCCTTGAGGTTGACTCCATTTATCAATAGCTATACCGAATTTTCTCCCATGTCTCCACATTTATAGTCGCGTGGTCTAATGGTTATGATTTCTCGTTCACATTGCATGTGTTCAAAGTCCCGAGAAGGTTCCGTGTTCGATCCACGGCGTGACTAAGTTTCTTCTTTTTGCCCACTTAGCGCAGATATTACTTAAGTGTGCGAAAGGGTTAACTCTCACGTATCAGTGGATGGAATGGGTGGAGGCGATCTAGAACTGGAGTTGTGACCCACCTAGCCGAGGGTTACGTTAAGGTACAGAGAATATCGAGTGGGACCCCGGTTGAGATATCGACATGTTGTATGTGAGATGTTGAGACACTTTAATTCTGGAAAGCGTCAGAGTTATTGACGTCGAGAGCTTTATTTTATGGTCCGAGTTTCGAGAACGAAGGTGGCATGTGTAGGTACCTGTATTTAAGAGGTATAGATCCAACTTGACTTATGGCAGTTGAAGAGTAGAGAGATTGGAATCATAACGCTCCCCCTGGTCGTATTGTCATCTATGAGAAACGGGGCAGAAATGTAGGTTTCGGGGACCCTGCATATGTCCTAATATAATTTGCATATGATGTCCTACATGGTCATCAAGTTTGCGGTTGTATGTCAATATGTATAGGTATACACATAGAGTGACTTCATACTTCCAGGATACCGAATTTTACTGTTTTCAGGGGCTAGGAACTCCCTTCGCTATTCCGTTGAAACATATCTATCTTGTTCTTGTATCTAGCTTCAACTGCGAAAGGGCAGAACAAGGAGAGGAATAGGTCAGCTCTGAGACATGAATAATCCATCAAGATAGTTATTCCACTTACTATAATAAAGCTTATACAGCTTACGATAGCTACAAAACCTCTGTCACACGGTGTTAATGATTGTTCTTCTTATTTCTAGGTCTCGGTGGCTCGTGCCTGGCTTAATTAGTGCGACATCTCCTGCTTTAGGCTGCCATCTGTTTGTTCAAGCAAATATGACGTATCTAGACGATATGTGAGGTTATATAGGCAGTTGAATGGATCCAAATAGAAGCAAGAATCTCGCCTCGCTATTTAGTTGACTACCGCGATACAGATGCCTTCGAGTTGGGAGGGTGTATACATATAGGAGATCCTGCCGTGATCTGAGTAATGTCAGAAGGAAAGCTTATCTCTGTTGCATTGTAATAAAAGCTGAATGGTAATATACAGTTTTTGTAATAGGGGGCTGCCTCAGGCGATAGTTCGATGACGGTCGTTACGGGATAGTTGATTATCATTGGTCGGCTTGAAACCAGAACAACGCGACATAACAAACAGCACGACCCGTAGCTTGCTTATGTGAATTCATTACTGTTTGTATTTCGAGACGTGAGCTGTATTATATCGGGCCAAGCTGAAGTACAGCAAGCGCGTCTCATTGGGGGCCAGTCAGCCATGTGGAGCGGCTGTGTTCGGGTAGGTGCAGGTCAGGCAGGCACCAGGGCTCTGATATACTTTTCACGGCTGCCAGTCGTAGCCACCGCGACAGGACTTTCACGCTGTTGCTGTTTTTGTTCATGTTGCCTGGTTGCCCGAGGCAGAAACCTGGCAATCACACGTACACCTGCCTAATAATTGTCAATAACAATCACTGTATACATGGCCGGTCAGATGGCCAAGTGGTCAAGTGGTAAACGACTATCACCACCAGCCGTACTAGAGAAATGGTTAACTCGTCGGCCTCCTATTGCAAAGTCAATAAGCCGAAGATTCCCGGTTCGAGTCCGGGGTGCGGTGTTCTTTTTCTTTTTCTTTTTCTTCTGTTCGTTCTCTGCCTTTCCGTCGCGTCCCTCATCGATGCATTTTTACACTGTTTACTTGCTTCATCTTTATCCCATTCTGCAATGAAGAAAACGCGTAGATTTCTCATATCGAGATGGATGATAACATTCGGACAAGCAGGCTAATGAAGGTATATCTGGAATTATAACATGCTACCTATCACTACAATGTGTCGAAGAATGCTAGAATCTCCCTTATCACAACCTCCGGCTGTTCCTGCTGCACCCAATGTCCCGCACCATCCACAAACTTCGCGCCTCTATAACAACCTTCCTTAACAGACTTCGAGTCCTCATAACCCTCAAGCGCACCAGGCTGCTGGTAATTACCCCAGTCCTGCTTCCCACTGATAAACGTACAGGGCACCTCGATCTTCCGTCCCGCAAACAACAGCATATCTCGTTTAGATTGCGGCGTCGATGCCGTTTGCGCCCGGTACCAATTCAGCGCGCCTTGGAACCCGTTCCTTTGCCACTCGTTACAATACACCTTGAGGTCCTCCTTCGAAAGCCATCGCTCCGTCTTAGACGCATCCTCGCCCACCATGTTCGCGGCCACGGTCTCAGGCATCGAGTGCTCCGCCCCCATGACATAGTACTCCGGCATCCCAGCCAGTTCCTGGGCGTCCCACCCCTCCAGTGGTCTTGGATCATTCTTATCCCAATCCGCGGATTTGAGGTGGAAGTACCCACGCAGAAACGCCTCGAGGCCCTGCGGCGGGTTCTCCCAGTCCTTCGCCGCTTGCGGGGACGAATTATACCACTTATAGTGCTTCCTCGGCGGATCCAGCTTCGCGAGCTCGGCTTGGATATCGACCTTCTTCTCCGGCTGCCCTGGTACAGGCTCCGCGGGCCGGTGATGCGGATGGCTCAGCTGGATCGTGGACAGAAAGATATCCGGACGCATGAGCGCCGCCATAGCCGAGCTCACGCCCCCGAAATCGTGGCCGATGATACTATGCACGGTGGTGTATCCCAGCCCGTATACCAAGCACACAAGGTCGCGCACGAGGTTTGTGTAGACGAAGTCGTTCAAATCGACCTCATCGAACGGCTGTTTCCGTGGCCACCCCTTAGTGCGGCCGTACCCGCGCTGGTCCATGGCCACGCAGAAGTAGCCCGCTTCGGCGATTTTGGGGAGGACCTTGCGCCATGAATATGCTATCTCCGGGTATCCGTGGCAGAAGAGCACGAGGGGCTTGCTGGGCTCGCCGGCCTTGAGGACATGCCATGTTAGGCCGCACGATGCGGAGCAGTCGATGTAGTCTGAGGTGATGCCCTTTGGTAGGGGCAGGTCTGGCAGTGCCTCGTTTGGCTGTTTTGAAGCTTCGCCCATGTTGAATGTATATGTCGACGTAGGTCAGCTTGAGCAACGCGCTTTGAAATCATGAGAGTATTCCATGGGAAGTACGAGGACGGGAATAGGAGTTACGTCTAGACTACCTTATCCCCAGGCCCCGCAAATACCTAGATAGGTAACCCCGTGGTAATCCTACGAAGTTACGTCAGCAACTTACATGTGATATCGTGGAAACTGGATGGTTTGCAACTCCTGGCGGATAGTAACGGTATTCTAAGGAAATTAACTGGAAGTTCTATTAGCACAAGCATACGTTTTATAGTATCTTTGGTTCATATAACCCGCAATGGTTCAATAATGCTATCTCAGATTGCCTGACAGTCTGTTGCTGCTATCAAAAAGTTGTGGAGTTATAGAGAACAAAGATGAATGTATACCTAGATGCCATTAAACCCAACCAAATCCTAATCCTTTCAAACATGGGTGTACAATAGAAGGATGCTTAAGGTAGAGGCTCGGCGCCGATATCCTCTGCACGTTGACACCGAAGATCTAGAGATCGATGCTCCATTCATCCCAACCTTCCTTCTCACCAGGAAGTCTCACGCTCTCCCACTCCTTTCTTGTGACATTCTTCCATTCTTCAACAGGAATCCAACCAATGTAAGCTCTGTCGCCGAAGCCGCCGATCCAGTAGACCTGCGTAACGACAAGTCTCACGAATTCCGACTCGTGGATCTTGTTACCGGGAAGCCAGTACTTCGCATCGGGATGTGTATCTACGAAGCACGACGACAGAGCCTCGGTGGACGCCGGGTCGATCTTCTCGATATAGCCCAGCAGGCTGTAGCGCGGGAGGTTGACCGCGCTGTAAGGCACTCTGTCCTTGGACTCGTCCTTGCGTCCGAAGAGCCAGTCAAAGAAGCTGGACTTGATGCGCTTATCGGGTGGATACGGGGGTGTCCACCGCTGGGCTAGGCTGATATTCGAGCCGCCCTGTACGTTCTTGAATGTGGTCTCGATCTTGATGGCTAGGAAGGTAGGGTTTCCATCCCCCTCGCAATCCGCTACGTACTCTAGCAGCCCCAAGGGCATGCCGGCAAGGCCATCCGGCTGGCGTCCGCGGGACGAATCCGGGAAGACAGTGGCAAGCGTTCCAAGGGGAGTGAGAGCTAAGATGCGTCGAGCGAGCACTGCCGACTCATATGAGGTCGGAATATTGTACTCGGGTGCCGCATCCGGAGGGTTGCTCAAGATGTATTGCGGCTCCGAAGCCGGCTCCACTGCGAAGGAGCTCGCAGCTAGGGAGATGAATGGCAAGCTATGTAGGAACCTCATCGCGGATGAAGTAGGCTACCCAAAGCGCCAGAGTTTGGTAGCAGTGGAGCGCTGAGGCGTTAAAGTCTGAGAGTTTACAAATAGACGAAGAAAGAGTTCAAGGCTTAAAGTTACAATTCAAGATGAAGGAAAGCTTGCTTTAAATTACCATACCGTTTGTTTGATGGCGTTTAGCGGTCTGCTATTGAAGCTCAATCAAACGAGATAAAGTTCCGGTCACCGGCGGGAAGCTTAACGATTGCCATGTGAATGATGTATCAGGTGCAGGTGGGACGGTAGCATTGCGGGTCCAGGTCTGGGTCTGGGTCTGGGGTTTGCCTCAACAGGTTTAGTCATCTTGAAACCTTAATTACGTGTAAGTTCCTGAGTACATGTACTGTTAGGGTCAAACTCTCCATTCGGAGAAAGACCCGTCGATTTAGTCTTATACCTGCGAGCTCGCTGTTGTAGAAGGCAAGACCGGAATTGTTGTTCACCTTGACCAATTGCAATATTACATCTAGGCAAGACATAGCTACACACAGCACCTCTACAGTGTCGGAAACTTGTCATCGGAAAGCTGCATGACTGGCCGACATTCTGGAACCAAACAGATTCAGCCCCACACAAAATCTCCCGAGGAATACCCGTGCAGCCCGCGGAGTCTTACGTCAGCTACTGATTAGATATCCCATACTC